GCCCTAGCCTTGAGCTGAAGAGCTGAGGGACTGCGCCCAGGCCGATTTCAAGCCCCACAATGGACAAAAAGAAAGAAAGAGAGAAAGAGAGAGAGAGAGGGAAAGGGGAAGGAAGGAAGGAAGGAAGGAAGGAAGGAAGGAAGGAAGGAAGGAAGAGAAGGAAGAGAAAATGAACATTTAACATAAGGAATTCTTCCCATGATTGAATGGTTCTTTCTATACTAAAGAACCTTGAAGTAAGCTGGGTGCAGGTGGCTCACACCTGTAATCCTAGCTACTCAGGAGGCTGAGATCTGAGGATCATGGTTCAAAGCCAGCCCAGGCAGGAAAGTCTGTGAGACCTTTGTTTTTTGGTCGGTTGTGGGGCCTGAACTCAGTCCCTGAGCTCTTCAGCTCAAGGCAAGTGCTCTATCACTTGAGCCACAGGCCATTTCCAGCTTTTTCTGCTTATGTGGTGCTGAGAAATCGAACCCAGGGCCTCATGCATGCAAGGCAAGCGCTCTACTACCACTGAGCCACCTTCCCAGTCCTGACTGTGAGACTTTTATCTCCAATTAACCACCAGAAAATCCTAAGTGGCGCTGTGGCTCCGATGGTAGAGCGCTGGCTTTGAGCTGAAGAGCTGAGGGATAATGCCCAGGCCCAGAGATCAAGCCCCATGACTGACCAACCCCCCCCCCAAAACAACCTTGAAATCACCTTGAAATAATTCAATTGCCTTTTTTTTTTTTGTACTGGGCGTTTGTACAGTACCTATGAACTACGTCCCCAGTCCTGGGTTTTTGTTTTCTTCCTTTGTTTGTCTTCAGGACAGGGCCTTGCTTCTCACCAAAGCACTGTGGACCTGCTTCAGGCTTCTTGTAGTTGCTAGGATGACAGGTATAGGCTGCCAGGTCTAGCTTCGTTTCTACGGAGTCTGGCCTGACATCATGATCCTCCCAATTCTGGCCTCTCACATAGCTTAGAGTGACAGGCCACTCTACCAAAATATGTGCTGAGAAGGGGACTCACAAACATTTACTCATAGTCTGGCCTTGAATCACAATCCTCCTCATTCTTAGCCTCCCAAGTAAACTAGGATTATGGGTATGAGCTACTGGTACCAGTTCGAACTGTTGTTTTTACAAGGAATAAAAGGACAAATTGTTCAGCTGAGAAATTCTTTTCAAAATTCAATATTTAATTTACAACATAGATATTACTTGGAATAAAAAAAGGAGATTTAGAGCTCACATATATAACACGCTAGTTATTCTTACAGGTAATAAATCATTTTTATAATTTTTTATCTCTATTATTTTCCACTAAGGCATCACAAAATCACATAACCACATTTTTTTCTTACCAAGTTTTAAAAACATAGGTTAAAAAAATCTGTTCCAATACCAGGTGTCAATGACTCACACCTGAAATCCTAGCTACTCAGAAGGCTGAGATCTGAGAAGGTTCGAAGCTAGCCACATTCAAATCTGTGAGACTTTTATATGCAATTAACTACCAGAAAACTGTAAGAAGTACTCTAGTTCAAAATGGTAGAGCAAAAAGAGCTCAGGGACATTGCGCAGGCCCTGAGTTCCAGCCTCAAGACTCACACGCACACATCACACATACACACACACACACACACAAACACACTATTGTTAAGTGTATTTTACCATGATTTTAAAAAACAAACAAAACAGTACCTGGCCCCTGGCTTTAACTGATTGAGAGCTATGGCCTGGGAAATTAACTCCATGTTAACGTGCATTTTTTGACAAACACAGGACAACGAGCTGTTTTCAAGTAGAAAAGATAATCAAAAGTTAAGATTGCGACCTGAGGACAATGAATAGCTTTGTGTCTAATAGAAGCAATCCTCCCACATTCTTCTCTCTAAATCTGTCAGTACTGACGGACTGTACCAGGCGGGAAGACACCAGTGTACTGTAGTCAAGACATCGTGGCTTGTGATCACAGAGAGAACCACAGACTGACAGATGAGATCCTAAAGTCCAGAAACACACGCACCCAGCTGAAGCTATTTGATTCTATAATCAGTGTGACTGACAAGGGAAAGAGAAGACTTTTCCAGAATAACCTCTATCTCATACCATATCAACTTTGGTTAATAGAAAGAACAAAATGAAAGGGCTCAAACAATAAATTAAGGAAGAAGGTACAAGAGAATCTCTTCATGTCCTCACTTGATAGCTTTTTATTTTTTTGAATGGAACTCAAAATCCTCAGCATAAAGGAAAAGACTGAAAAATTAAACTACATTAAAACAAGAAACTTCAGGGCTGAGAATGTTGCTTAGTGGTAGAATGCTTGCCTAGCACACATGAAACCTTGGATTCCATTCCTCAGTACCACATAAACAGAAAAAGCCAGAAGTGGCGCTGTGGCTCAAGTGGTAGAGTGTTAGCCTTGAGCAAAAGAAGCTTAGGGACAGTTTCCAGGCCCTGAGTTCAAGCCCCAGGACTGGCAAAAAAAAAGAAAAGAAACTTCACTGAAAGATAACATTACTGAGACGACAAAGACAGGTCACAATGGAGAAGATTCTCCTATAATATATATCAATAAAATATTGGACTGGGAATGTGGCTTAGTGGTAGAGTGCTTGTCTAGCATGGATGGAGCCCTGGGATCGATTATCCACTACCACATAAACAGAAAAAGCCAGGAGTGGTGCTGTGGCTCAAGTGGTAGAGTGCTAACCTTGAGAAAAAGCTCAGGACCACCGGGTGCTGGTGGCTCACGCCTGTAATCCTAGCTACTCAGGAGGCTGAGATCTGAAGATCACTGTTCAAAGCCAGCCTGGGCAGGAAAAGTCCATGAGACTCTTATCTCCAATAAACCACTAGAAAACTGGAAGTGGCGCAGTAGAGCACTCACCTTGAGCTGAAGAGCTGAGGGATAGCGACCAAGCCCAGAGTTCAAGCCCCACGACCAAAAAAAAAACAAAAACAAAAACAAAAGAGCTCAGGGATAGTGCCCAGGCTCTGAATTCAAACCCCAGGACAGGCAAAAAAAAAAAATCTACATTTAGAACATGGAAAGAATTCTTCCAAGTCAATACTGAAAAGGCAGACAACCCTTTAGGAAAAGATAAATGAGCAAAAGACAAGCAGGAACTTCATCAAAGAGAATATTCAAACATCCATTAAACAGGTGCTCTATTCCTTCAGTTAGTTACTAGATACATGAATGAAAGTAACTGTGATGCACTGCACAGGGTCCAGCAAGGCTACAGAAACACATGCTGCCAAGTCTGAGTGAGGACTGAGGACAAGTGGAGCTTGTGCACTTATTCTGCGGCTGCTCACGGAGTCAGAACAACTTTGGGAAACTGCTATGTGAAAAACCCAGATCCGGGGCTGGGAAGGTGGCTCAGTGGTAGAGCGCTTGCCTTGCATGCCTTCGGCCCTGGGTTCGATTCCTCAGCACGAAATAAGCAAAAAGAAAAAAAAAAGCCGGAAGGGGTGCTGTGGCTCAAGTGGTAGAGTGCTAGCCTTGAGCTGAAGAGCTGAGGGACAGCGCCCAGGCCCAGAGTTCAGACCCCACGACCAGACCCCCCCCCCAAAAAAAAGAAAAACCCAGATCCTAGGATGTAGACATTTTACTTCGACTATATATTAGCTCTGAAGATGTGTGTCATAATGCACATGTTTCTACACACATTTCCCCACCAAAATGCGTGGTATTCATAAGATCATTATCCACTATAGTCTTGAACTGGGAAAAACCTAAACCACAACATAAGGATAAATTGTGACATTGTGATGAGTCCAAACAGTATTTGCTATGACATGGAGGAATACGAGAACGTAAATGAATCTCACAAATGTAATATTGAGATAAAAAAGGGCCAGACAAAATGAAAATCTTGTATGACTCCATTTCTATAAAGTTGAACCCCTTTTTTTGGTACTGCTGGTTGAACCCAGGACTTTTTGTATGCTAGGCAAGTACTCTATCATGAGCAATATCCCAACCCTTCAAGTCCTTTATATATAAAGCTTAAAATCTATCCTGTTGAAATTGGGAGCTAGTGGTTCATGTCTGTAATTCTAGCTACTCAGGAGGCAAAATCAAGGTTAAAATCCAGCCAGTGGAAAAAAACTACACAAACCCAATTGAAGGCTGGGTGTGGTAGCTTATACCTATAATTTCAACCACTTTGGGAGGTACAGATTGGGAGGGTCTCAGTTTGAGATCAGCTAGCACCAAAAGAAAAGCTAGAGAGGGGCTGGGAAGGTGGCTCAGTGGTAGAGTGCTTGCCTTGCATGCTTGAGGCCCTGGGTTCGATTCCTCAGCACCACATAAACAGGAAAAAGTTGAGCACTGTGGCTCAAGTGGTAGAGAGCTACCTTTGAGCTGAAGAGTTGAGGGACAGCGTGCAGGCCCAGAGTTCAGGCCCAATGACTGACCAAAACCAAAAAAAAAAAGAAAAAAAGAAAGAAAAGCTAGAGAGAGCCAGGTGCCCATGGATCATGCCTGTAATGCTAACTACTCAGGAGGCTGAGATATGATGATTACAGTTCAAAGTTAGCCTGGGTAAGAAAGTCCGTGAAACTCTGGAAGTAGCGCTATGGCTCAAAGTGGTCAAGTGCTAGCCTTGAGCAAAAGAGCTCAGGGGCAGTGCACAGGCACTGAGTCCAAGCCCCAGGATGGAGGGGTGGGGGGGTGGGCAGGGAAGCTAGGGAGAACCCATTTCAACAAATAAGCTAGGCATGGAAGTTTCACGCCTGTAAATCCAGCTATAAGGGAAGCGTAGACAGGAGGACTGCAGTTCAAGAGCAGCCCTAGGAAAAAATCTGAAGTGATAACTAAAAGTACAAAAGGCTGGGGGGCATGACTCAAATGGTAGACTGCTTTCCTACCAAGTGCAAGGTTCTGAGATCAACTTCAAGATCAAATTTATTTACATAACTAAATAAAACAAACAAGGGTATAGGATTTGTTCAGTATGCCAAAATGCCCTGCAGCCAGAAATCACAGTTTTTTTGTTTACTTACTCAGTGTGTTGTGGTCTGTGTGGATTCCTTGTATGACAGATGTTCTGAGGAGCAGTTCAACGTCAGAACCTATTTTTATCAGCTGTTGAGAAAGCCAGTGTGAGTCCTTAGAGGGTTTCATGACTATGTATTGTTTTGAAAACTCTAGCTTGTTTGGCTTTGTTCATCATGGGGCTTGAATTTAGGGCCTGGGCATTACAAGCATGAGCCACCACAGCCTAGCTGAAAACTATAGTTTTATATAACAATTCCTTTTTACTTAGTGTTGCTTTTAACATTTTACAGTATACAAAGCTCAACCATTTTGGGATAATTTTATAACTCTTATCTATCTACTCCATATTTTGTTCCCAAACAGATTCAGAATGTTTTGTTATAATGTACATTTGAAAACTGGAAGTGGTGCTGTGGCTCAAGTGATAGAATGCGCTCCTTGAGCTGAAGTGCTCATGGACAGTGCCCAGGATCAGAGTTCAAGCCTTACAACCAAAAAAAAAAAAAAAACGTGAGGGCTTTGGGACTTTTTTTTTTGTCAGTCCTGGGGCTTGAAGTCAGGGCCTGACCTCTGTCCATGAGATTCTTTGTGCTCAAGGCTAGTGGGTTACCACTTGAGCCACAGCGACATTTACGGTTTTCTGTTGATTAACTGGAAAGAAGATTCTCACAGACTTTGCCGCCCAGGCTAGCTTCAAACTGTGATCCTCAGATCTCAACCTCTTGAGTAGCTAAGATTACAGGCATGTGCTATTGGTACCCAGCTTGGGACTTTCTTTATAGAGCTGGTTTCCTGAACACAGTCTGTTCCACGTTGGCTCTGTTATTAGAGGCATAGTGTAGGTTAACCATCTTTTCCTCTAGCATTAGACCTCATGTGCAGAGTGAGAAACAGGCCCCAAACACTGATTCTCTAGCTCTGGGCCCCTGAGAGACTGAAGATCCCTTCAGGGATCTGTGAAGACAAAATTCTTTTTCTGTATTGTTTAAGTGTAAATGGAAGTATAACTTCCTCCACAAAAACAGCCTTTTAAAGACAGGCACTGGTGGCTCACACCTGTAACCCTAATTACTCAGGGGGCTGAGATCTGAGGATCATGGTTTGAAGCCCACCCAGGCTGGAAAAGCTAAGAGATTCTTATCTCCAATTAAACACCAAAAAGCTGGGAGTGGAGCTATGGCTCAAGTGGTAGAGCACTAGCCTTGAGTGAAAAAGCTAAAGGAGGGGGTTGGGAGCGTGGCTCAGTGGTGGAGTGCTTGTCTTGCGTGCATGAGGCCCTGGGTTTGAGTCCTCAGCACCACGTGAGCAGAAGACAAAAAAAAAAAAGGAAGAAAAAGCTAAAGAACAGCACCCTCACCTTGAGTTCAAGCCCCAGAACAGGGAAAAAAAGGTTAATTTCTCGAAAGAGCCTTGAGAAACTATGATTACTCAGACCAAGGTATTTGGCAGATTAGTTATTATTATTATTATTATTATTTTATGTTTTTGGCAGTCATGGCACTTGAACTCTGGGCCTGGGTGTTGTCCCTCAGCTCTTCAGCTCAAGGCAAGCACTCTACCACTTGAGCCACAGCGCCAGTGCCAGTTTTCTGAGTCGTTTATTGGAGATAAGAGTTTCATGGACTTTCCTGCTGGGGCTGGCTTTGAATCATGATCCTCAGATCTCAGCCTCTTGAGTAGCTAGGATTTCAGGCTTGAGCCATTAGTGCCCAGCTAGTTATTATTATTATTTGTGTGTGTGTGTGTGTGTGTATGTGCTGGTCCTGCGGCTTAAACTCAGGGCCTGGGCATTATCCTTGAGCATTTGCTATCACTTAAGCCAGAGCTCCATTTTTTGCCTTTTGGTGGTTAATTAGAGATAAGAATCTCATGGACTTGGGGCTGGGAAGGTGGCTCAGTGGTAGAGTGCCTGCCTTGCATGCATGAGGTCCTGGGTTCGATTCCTCAGTACCACATAAGCAGAAAAAGCTGGAAGTGGTGCTGTGGCTCAAGTGGTAGCAAGCACCATGACTGGCAAAAAACAAAAACAAAAGAATCTCATGGACTTTCCTGCTTGGATTAGCTTTGAACAATGATCCTCAGCCTCCTGAATAGCTAGGATTAGGGGTGTGAGCCACTGGTGTGCAATTGGCAGATAATTTCTTGAACACGAGTGAAATGTGTTTCTCTTGAGAAAAAACAATTGACAATATATAATGACAATGATAAAATTCCAGCTTTCAAGCAAAAATTGGAACCATAGAGCTACTTATATGTGCTATGAGCTTGGAAGCTTCCTGGTACTAAAAGGATTTTTCTAATAATATGGTACTAACAGCTGTAATTATAATATATAATGTTTTTTGCCAGTCCTGGGGCTTGAACTCAGAGCCTGGGATCTATCCCTAAGACTCTCTGTGCTCAAGACTAGTACTCTACCACTTGAGTCACAGCACCACTTCTGGCTTTTTCTGTTTATGTGGCACTGAGGAATCGAACCCAGGGCTTCATGCATGCTAGGCAAGTACTCTACCACTAAGCAACATTCCCAGCCCATGATATAATTTTAAGATTTCATATAATAAACTATGCTCACTGTACAGTAGACTTGTGTGTGTGTGTATGTGTGTGCGCGCACACGCGCGCTGGTATTGGGACTTGAATTTAGGGCTGGGTACTGTCCCTACTCAAAGCTGACCCTCTACCACTTGAGCCATAGCTCCACTTCCAGGATTTTGCTAGTTAAATGGAGATAAGATCCTCAGAGACTTTCCTGTCCCAGGTAACTTCTAACTGTGATCCTCAGATCTCAATCTCCTGAGGAGCTTGGATTACAGATCTGAGCCATAGTGCATGGCTTACAGTAGAGTCTTGATAACTGGCGGTGAATGGTTCCTGGGGACTGCTGCTGAAAAGTTGTGAATGCTCAGGAGGTGCAGAATAGTGCCTGACGCCTTTTTCCTAGTGTCCCCAACTTCTGCTTAGAGACCTGCTACCTTTCAACAAACCTCAAGTTTTCACTTTATCACTTAAATTAAGCAATTCACTTTTCCCTTGCTCTGTAGGTAGGTATAAGCTGCTTTGTGGGGAGGCAGATTTGTACAAAGGTCAGGGCATAAAAACAGCAGCTCAGGGCTGGGAAGGTAGCTCAGCGGTAGAGTGCATGCCTTGCAAGCATGAGGCCCTGGGTTCGATTCCTCAGCACCACATAAACAGAAAAAGCCGGAAGTGGCGCTGTGGCTCAAGTGGTAGAGCGCTAGCCTTGAGCTGAAGAGCTGAGGGACAGCGCCCAGACCCAGAGTTCAGGCCCCATGACTGGCAAAAAAAAAAAAAAAAACAGCAGCTCATACACCAAGTTAAATACAGGACTGCCTGAGAGCTTCTCCACATTAACTAGGCTGTGCAATTTTGTTTTGATTTCTCTCTCTCTCTTCTCTGTTTCTCTGTGTCTGTCAAAACCATATGTGATAAACTTGCAAATAAGATGAGCTTACTGCTTAGTGCAGGAGAAAGACTAAAATCCATTGGTCAGAGAGTTTCAGGGGCTCATGGCTGTAATCCTAGCTACTTAGGTTGCTGAAATCGGGAGGACTGCATTTCAAGGCCAGCCCACTCAGCAGAAAAAGCTGGGTGGGGATGCACATGTCTGTTAGCCCAGCTACCATGGGAAGCTTAAATAAGAAGATTGTGGCTGGGTTCTGGTGATCCATACCTGTCATCCTAGCTACTCAGGAGGCTGAGATCTGAGGATTACAGTTCAAAGTCAGCCCTTTGATCTCCAAATTAATCACTCAAAAATGGGAAGTAGGGCCGTGGCTCAAGTGGTAAAGCACTAGTCCTGAGCACAGAGAGGCCCAGGGACAGCACCCAGGCCCTGAGTTCAAGCCCCACAACCAACAAAAAAAAAAGAGGATGGTGGGCTGGGAATGTGGCTTTGTAGTAGAGTGCTTGCCTAGCATGCACAAAGCCCTGGGTTCGATTCCTCAGTACCACATAAAAAGAAAAAGTGCTGTGGCTCAAGAGGTAAAGTCTTGAGCAAAAGAAGCTCAAGGACAGTGCCCAGGCCCTGAGTTCAAGGTCCAGGACTAGCAGGAAAAAAAAAAGAGGGTTGTGGTTGCAGGCCAGCACAGGCAAAAAGCAAGATTCTATCTCAAAAATTCCCAGAGAAACTGGGGCCTGGGGGCTCATATATGTAATCCTGGCTACTCAGGAGACTTAGATCTGAGGATCATGGTTCAAAGCCAGTTGGCCCGGGAAGGTCCGTGAGGACTCTTATCAACAATTAACTACCAAGAAAAAGCCAGAAATGGAGCTGTGGCTCAAATGGTAGAGGGCTAGGCTTGAGCAGAAGAGATCAGGGACAGTAAGCAGGCAGAGATCAAGCCCTAAAGACTGGCAGGTACACTTCCATACATGCACACATATGTGCATGCAAACATGCAAACACACACACACATACATGAGTAAGGAAGTTCCGTCTAGGGTTCTGAGTTTCTATAACACCGACCTGCCTCAGGCGAAGAGAGGATTTTGTGTTTCTGCATTGGCTAAGTAGCTCTTGCTTTGATCATGGCTACCTCCATGTTCTTGCCACAGGCAAGGGGCTATCTTTTAGGGACAGGGAAATGGTCCTGAGTAGGTGAGCCACGTCAAGTAAAGTGGAGGGTTTCAAGGAGGATGACTTTCCTTTCAAATGACCATCTATTTCCATCATTTCTTCTTTTTCAAAAAAAATTCCAAGTTTTATTGGAATTGAAAACAACTGTACCTCTTCTATTTTCTTAGGAGAAGTCTCACTCTTGTTACTTTTGAATTCTTCATTGATCTTTATTCTGGCTGCTAGAGAGAAAAAATATATATAAGGTTATTTGTTTTTCTTTTCTTTTTTTGTCAGTCATGGAGCTTGAACTCTGGGCCTGGGCACTGTCTCTGAGCTTTTCAGCTCAACCACTTGAGCCATAGTGCCACTTCCGGTTTTCTGGTGGCTCACTGGAGATAAATGTCTCAAGGACTTTCCTGCCCAGGCTGGCTTTGAACCACTATCCTCAGATCTCAGCCACCTGAGTAGCTAAGATTATAAGTGTGAGCTTGGTTATCTGTTTTTCTAACTTATAATTCCTGTCCCAATAATTTATATTATGTAAATGAATTTCTACTTCTCTAAGAAAAGGTTTTGATTGTATGTAAAACAAAGCATAAGAAAAAGTATTTATGGCTGGGAAGGTGGCTCAGTGGTAGACCGCTTGCCTTGCATGCCTGAGGCCCTGGGTTCGATTCCTCAGCACCACATAAGCAAAAAGAAAAAAGCCGGAAGTGGCGCTGTGGCTCAAGTGGTAGAGCACTAGCCTTGAGCTGAAGAGCTGAGGGATAGTGCCCAGGCCCAGAGTTCAGGCCCCATGATTGGACCCCCAAAAAAAAAATAAAGAAAAAGTATTTAAAAAGTTTCATGGAGAGTTTTGAAAGGCTACCAAAATTTGTGGGGGAGAGGAGAGCGTAATATAAACTTTCATTACTCTATTTTTCTCTTGCAATTTTATGTCCCTTTAATCACTAGATTTTAATAAATCCAAATAAATATTTTTCTCGAAGTGTTTAGATTAAAATGTCTTTCATTTTCTTTCTTTCTTTTTCTTTTTTTTTGTAGGCTGTAGGGCCTGAAATCTCAGTCTGGGCGCTGTCCCCCAGCTCTTCAGCTCAAGGCTAGGGCTCCACCGCTTGAGCCACAGCGCCACTTCTAGCTTTTTCTGCTTATGTGGTGTTGAGGATAAACCCAGGGCTTCATGCATGCAAGGCAAGCGCTCTACCACTGAGCCCCTTCCCAGCCCTTCTTTTTTCTTTTTTGTGCCAGTCCTAGGGCTTGAACTCAGAGCCTGGGCCCTGTCCCTGAGCTTTTGTGCTTAAGACCAGCACTTTTGTGTGGCTTAAGACCACTTAAGCCACAACTTGACTTCTGGTTTTTTAGTTTAGTATTGTTTTTGTTTTGTCGGTCATGGAGCTTAACTCTGCGCCAGGGTGCTATCCTTCAGCTCTTCAGCTCAAGGCAAGTGCTCTACCACTCGAGCCACAGCACCACTTCTGGTTTTCTGGCAGTTTATTGGAGATAAAGAGTCTCATGGACATTCCTGCCTGGGCTGTCTTTGAACCATGATCCTCCGATCTCAGCCTCCTGAGTAGCTAGGATTATAGGCATGAGCCACCAGAGCCTGGCTTGGCTTTTTGGTATTTAACTGGAGAGAAGAGTCTCAGGACTTTCCTGACCAGGCTGGCTTAGAACTGTGATCCTCAGTTCTTAGTCTCCTGTGTAGCGAGGCTTTCAGGCGTGAGCCACCAGAACCTGATTTTTTTCTTTTTCCAGACAAGGTCTCACTATCTAACCTACACTTATCTTCAAGTTCAATATTCTCCTGTCTCAGCCTCCCAAGTGCTGGAATTGATTTCATGAACCCAGACATGACAAAAATGTCTTTATCAAAAGTCAATAAAGGGGCTAGGAATGGTGGCTCAGGGGTAGAGCGCTTGCCTTGCATACAAGACCTCCTGGGTTCGATTCCTCAGCACCACATAAACAAAACAAAAAAATCCAGAAGTGGCACTATGGCTCAAGTGGTAGAGCGCTAGCCTTGCACCAAAGAGCTGAGGGACAACACCCAGGTCCAAAGTTCAAGCCCCATGACTGACAAAACAAAAGTCAATAAAGACAAATGTATTAAACAATGTACACACATAGGTAGCTTAAAATACAAGAGTCAGAAGGACACATATATAATTTTGAGTGCCTTCATTCAGATAAAAATAGATTAAAACTTTTGCTATACTATTTTGTTATATCATTTTATATCATTGTAGCAGCTTAATCCAATCTATTCAGTCTTATATGCTGTTATGAGCAACTGCTGGAACAATCTGTAGAAAGTTGCTCAGTTAGTATGCCAGAGCCCAGCTCTGAAGTAGGAAAACTTAATTCCCTAAGTGGAGGCCACTTTACCAGACACCTTCTTAAGAAGGTTAAGAAATGCACTTAGAATTGGGCACCAATGGCTCACACCTGGAATTCTAGCTAATCAGGAGGCTGAGATCTGAAGATCATGGTTCAAGGATAGCCTACACAGGAAAGTTCATGAGACTCTTATCTCTAGTTCACCACCAAAACGCCAGTAGTGGAGCTATGGCTCAAGTGGTAGAGAGCTAGCCTTGAGCAAAAAAGCTTATAGAGGGCTGGGAATGTGGCTTCCAGGCAGAGTCCTCGCCTAGCATGCATAAAGCCCTGGGTTGGATTCTTTAGTACCACATTAACAGAAAAAGTCAGAAGTGGCTCTTTGGCTCAAGTGGTAGAGTGCCAGCCTTGAGCAAAAGAAGCTCAGGGACAGTGCCTAGGCCCTGAGTTCAAGCCCCAGCAATGCCAAAACTAAAAATAAAAATAAAAAAGCTCAGGGATAGTGTCCAGGCCTAAGTTTAAGCTTCAGTGAAACACAGAATGTGGATGTAAATTAGATTTGGATTGGATTTTCCTTCCATAGCTGTGGAGACTTCCAGATTGACACAGACAATATGGTGGTATTTGGTCTTCCAGAGTGAAATTTTGTTTCCATAAAAGAAATTTGTTTACATAAAAGGAGACTCATGGCTTGAACCAAAGGCAAGTCATGGCAAACACTGAAATTCTCACATGTGATCTTTTTTTTTCTTTGGTCACGGGGCTTGAACTCTGGGGTCTGGGTGCTGTCCCTCAGCTCCTCAGCTCAAGGCAAACACTTTACCACTTGTGCCACAGAGCCACCTCTGGTTTTCTGGTGGTTTATTGGAGATAAGAGTCTCACAGACTTTCCTGCTCAGTCTGGCTTTGCACCGTGATCCTCAGATCTCAGCTTCCTGAGTAGCTAGGATTACAGGTGTGAGCCACTGGCACAACCTTTTTTTTTTCTGATTCTTTGAGAAATCTTTATCATTTTTTTAAGTATATACTTCTGAAAGAAGTGTAGTATAAACAAATCTTTACAAAACATCATATTAAGCCAGGCACTGGTAACTTAGGCCTGTAATCCAAGTTATTCAACAGGCTGAGATATGAGAATCTGCATTCAAAGCCTGCCCAGGTAGAAAAAGTCTATGAGGCTCTTAGCTCCAATTAATTAACAAAACAAAGAAAGAAAGAAAGAAAAACAAACACACCAAAAAGGGGCTATAGCTCAAATAGTTTAATACTAGCTTTGAGCAATAGAAGCTTGGGGGCAGTGAGATTAAGCCCCAGGTCCTGAACAAAAAAACCAAAAAACTTGGGGCTGGGGATGTGGCTTAGTGGTAGAGTGCCTGCCTGGCATGCATGAAGCCCTGGGTTCAATTCCTCAGTACCACATAAACAGAAAAAGCAGGAATGGCACTGTGGCTCAAGCCTTAAACAAAATAAGCTCAGGGCTGAGAAGTTGGCTCAGTGGTAGAGTGCTTGCCTCACATGCATGAGGCCCTGGGTTTGATTCCTCAGCACCACATATGCAGAAAAAGCCGGAAGTGGCACTGTGGCTCAAGTGGTAGAGTGCTAGCCTCGAGCTGAAGAGCTGAGGGACAGCGCCCAGACCCAGAGTTCAGCCCCCACAACTGACCAAAAAAAAAAAAAAGAAGCTCAAAGACAGTGCCCAGGCCCTGGGTTCAAGCCCCAGGATTGGCAAACACAAAACACAAAATCCCCCAAACCCAAAAAACAAACAAAATATACCATCAGAAGAGAGCCAGTGAAAGTCATTCCCAAGCTGGGTTTTCATTACATAAGGTGGGTGTGGGGGTCTCCAGCCATTTAAAGCAAAGACTTAAACAAAAGGGAACAAACACACACACACACACACACACACACACACACACATTTTACCTTCCAATGCTCTGGTATCATTTTTAAAAACTTGCTGTCTGGTTCTGTGCAGTGTTTTAAAGAGCTGTAAAACCTGTTAAGAAAATGGGAATTCAGACCTCCTGAGAAAAAATTTCACATTTTACATAACTGGATTACAAAGATTAAACAATTATCCTTTTCTATTTATTTCTCTTATATATATGTGTGTGTGTGTGTGTTTTATTCCTATTATTATCTTAAATTACCTTTCAGAATAGCTTGTAAACATCAGGCCTTCAAAATTTAAAAACAAATCTTTCCAGCAGGTTGCTGATGGCTCACGCCTATAATCCTAGCTACTCAGAAGGCTGAGATCTGAGGATCACAGTTCAAGCCAACCTGGGCAGAAAGTCCCCGAAGCTCTTATTTCCAGTTAAATATCAAAAAGTCAAAAGTGGTGCTGTGGCTCAAGTGGTAGAGTGCTTGCCTTGAGCACAAAGAGGCTCAGGGACAGTATCAGGCCCTAAGTTCAAGTAGGACCAGCAACACAAACAAACAAAAACAAAACAAAAACCTTTCTCTTTCCCTTGTTTATTTAAATTAAAAATGTTTAGGGGCTGAGGTAAAGTACATCCATAGCATGAATGAGTTCCTGGGCTCCAACCCCAACACATGGGGGAAGAAAAAAAGTTTAAGCATTATATACCAAGTCCTACAAAGCAAACAAAACAAAGTTGGGAATGGTGGTGCACACCTGTAATCCCAGAATTTGGGAGGCTAGGGATCCTGTCCCAAGAAGTTCTCAAGTTCCAGGTTAGCCTGGTTTACATATGGTTTCAGGCCAGCCTGGACCACAGAATGCGTGAGACCCTATTTCAAAACACAGGGCTGGGAAGGTGGCTCAGTGGTAGAGTGCTTGCCTTGCATGCATGAGGCCCTGGGTTCGATTCCTCAGTATCACATAAGCAGAAAAAAAAAGCCGGAAGTGGCGCTGTGGCTCAAGTGGTAGGGCGCTATCCTTGAGCTGAAGAGCTGAGGGACAGCACCCAGGCCCAGAGTTTAAGCCCACTACTGGACCCCCAAAAAAACCAAACACACAAAGACATGCAAAGAAACAAAGAACAAAAACAATACAAGGATGCTTATGTCATAATCATTTTGCCATAAACCAGTTTGCTAGTATTGTAAGTATTTGCTCTCTTTTGAAGAAACTAAAGCTTTTATCTGCTCTTCAAATCACACACATACAAAATCATGAACTTACATCTTAGGAGGGCTCAGAAAGAAAATACAATTTAGGAGAGGTTAACTGATTGCTCACATGAGAAGTGAGACAAAAGGGTAAGAAAAGAGCCTGAAAGTTTAGTAAAAAGTCACACTGCCAGGCTGGGAAGGTGGCTCAGTGGTAGAGTGCTTGCCTTGCATGCATGAGGCCCTGGGTTCAATTCCTCAGCAACACATAAGCAGAAAAAGCTGGAAGTGGCGCTGTGGCTCAAGTGGTAGAGCGCTTTCCTTGAGCTGAAGAACTGAGGGACAGCCCAGGCCCTGAGTTCAAGCCCCACAATCAACCAAAAAAAAAAAAAAGTCACACTGCCAAGAGACTTCAGTGACACTCTGAGGCTACCTCTCACTTCTAAGTCCAAAAAAGATGCTAAATATTGTTCTCTCAATATTGACCTTCTTGGCCCATCAGCTGCACTGGACATTGATGAAAATGAACTTAATATTTCAAGGGAAGTGATGGGAGGGAATGAGAGGGAAAGATGGAACAGCTGACATTAAGCAAAAGGAAAGAAATGTACATATCACCCAATTTGGAAGAAATAGTTGTACTGTCAAAGTTTATATTATCCACAAGCTTTACAAACCATGATAATAACAATATGCCCTGTGAAGGTTAAAATGTGTTTGTGACTTTAACTAAGTATCACTACCCCCAAAATACTGTGAAATTTGTGAAATTTATGTAATCACTTAATCTCAATAAAAATTATTAAAAAATAATGCCCTTCTCCCTACCTAGTGTATTTCTTTTTTTGGGGGGGGTCTGGTAGTGGGGCTTGAACTCTGGGCCTGGGCGCTGTCCCTCAGCTCTTCAGCTCAAGGCTAGCGCTCTACCACTTGAGCCACAGCGCCACTCCCAGCTTTTTTCATTTTGCTTATGTGGTGCAGGGCCTCAGGCATGCAAAGCAAGCGCTCTACCACTGAGCCACCTTCCCAGCCCCTAGTGTATTTCTTTATAAAGGCAAAGTGATCCCTTTAGTAGGCTCAGGTAGTACAGTACAGATAATTTATGGCTATTAGTACCTAACATATTGTGTGTTTGTGTACGTCCTGGGGCTTGAAGTCAGGGCCTAGGTGCTGCTGTCCCTGAACTTTTTTGCTCAAGGATAGCATTTTACCACCTGAGCCACATCTCTACTTCTAGATTTTTGGAGATAAGAGTCTCACAGACTCCTGCCTGACCTGTCTTCCAATGGCAGTCCTCAGATCTCATCTGCCTAAGTGGCTAAGATTACAGGCATGACCACTCATCTTAGGGCTTCAATATAATAATAATTATCACTATTATTTTATCGATCTTGGGGCTTGAACTCAGGTTCCTGAACTTTTTGGTTCAAGGATAGAACTCTACCACAGTACCACTTCTGGTTTCCTGGTGGTTACTTGGAGATAAGAGTGTCATACTCTTAGATCTCAGTCTCCTGAGTAGCTAGGATTACAGCTGTGAGCCACCAACATCCAGCTTCAACATACTTCTTGAATGAATAACCTGATAGAATTGTGTCTTTCCCAGCCCTGAGTTCAATAGTCCACGAGGGATGCTTGGTGGCTTATTACTGATGTATCATAAAACACAGCTTTTTCCCTTGCAGTGTTGTGGGCTGTATGACAACGACAGATTCCAATTGACCATCACGTCGATATTTAAAGCTAAGAGATGGTTGCCTGAGAACTGGGCACCAACAAGGAATGCACTTGACTAGAAATGAACCTGAGCCCAGGGTCCCTAGATCTGGGGTGCCCAAGCACCCTCACCCATCTCCCTTCCCCTGGTTCAGGTCTCACAGGTGTCTCGCTAAGTGCTACTTTTCGAAGGCATTTCGTTGGGGAATCTTTCCTCGGTTCCTCATCTCTAGATATGGGAACAAACATAATACCTGATTGGCTGATTGGAACTTTCTCTTTTTTTTTTTTATAATGTTTTATTACAAAAGAAAGCACATGCAAACACTACAGGTTAAAGAAAGCTGGGTGGATCTTAAATTCGCGTTTTGGGTCTTCTTTATTTCCTGGGATGTGAAATGGGTCCTTCAGACAAATCAATACTAGTGAGGACGGATTGGGGGGGGGGCCACACCCAACCCATGTTTTTGCACGCGCGCGCGTGTGTACGTGTCGGCCCCGGGGGCTTGAACTCAGGGCTTGGAAACTTGATCACGGAGCATTTCTGCTCCAGGCTAGCGCTCTACCACTTGAGTCACAGCTCCACTTCCGGCTTTTTGGTGGCTCTCAGGGGGCTTTCCCTGCCCAGGCTGGCTTCGAACCGCGCTCCACACATCTCAGCCTCCTGAGTAGCCAGGATGACAGGCGTGAGCCGCCAGCGCCCAGTTTCCAAGACGACTGTTTTTATCTCAGGCAAACCCCCTCCCCTCCTCGGCCCCCCGTCCGGGGCGCTGGGGCCCCACCCGCAGCCCCGCCCACCCGCGGCCCCGCCCACCCGCGCACCTGCAGGCCCCCGACGGCCCCTCAGGGTCCTCAACCTCAACCCCCAGGAACTCCACAACCGTCCCCCAGTTGTCCACTCCCCTCCCCTCCCCATCTGCACCCACCCCTCCCCAGCCCCTGTCACCTTCACTGCCTGACCCATGGCTCCCCACGCCGTCCCCGTCACCTCAGGGGCCGCCGGTTCACCCCGCCTCTCGGCAGCCCAAGGGAGAGCCCGCACGGACGTCTCCTTTCCCGAGGGCGCGCGCCTAACCCCCCCACCCAATCATCATTCAGGATTTCCCCGCTAGTCCCGCCTCACGATAGCCAATCAAAGTCTCGCTCCCCGTGGCCACGCTCCTAACGCACGGCAACCAATCACCGTGCAGCGTAGCCCCGCCCCTTCAGCAGGATGCCTGTGAAACGTTTGCTAAGCGCGTCGTGACTCCATAAACTTCCCAGAGCGGCGGAGCCAAGTGACAGACGGGAGAGCGGAAGTCACTCGGAGGCCATGTTTGTTAGGGGCAGAGTCACTTCCGGCCTGGAGCCTCTGGCGCCCAGCCTGCGTTGCTATTTAACGAGTGGCTGGTCTTTACTGCCAGTTGGGAATGAGGCACGTCTATTAAAGTATTTTAGTATTTCCCAGCAGCGACCGTCTCCTTGGCAACCGTCTCCTTGGCAATGTGACAAAAACCAAGCCACCACTACCGCGGAAGGCATTGATTGGACACTTCCAGAAGTTCTGCAGTGCAGTCATTTTTCTCCTTTAAGGTGAGATTAAATAATTTACCAAATTACCAAAGCTAGTAAATCTGAGCTACGAATCCTCTGGGCCTGATCCCAGAGGCTAGTCTCACCCTCTAAATCTGCCTTCTCTTGCCTCCTGCATTAGATTTGCAGAGCACTCAAGCAATTTAACTGCTTTGCTGGATGGTAATTAATTAGCAATGACATCATCATGAACAACTATAAAGCATATTAAGTACCTTCACGTAGGGCCTTGCAAGCATCAAGATAAATTTCTGCCTAGCAAGCAGGTCTTAAGTTCAAAACCCAGATTAAAAAATAAAGACTAGGGAATGTGGCTTAGTGGTAGGTAGAGTGCTTGCCTGGCATGCATGAAGCCATGGGTTCGATACCTCAGTACCACACTACAAAGAAAAAGCCAGAAGTGCGCTGTAGCTCAAGTGGTAGAGTGCTAGCTGTGAGCAAAAGCAGCTCAGGGACAGTGCCCAGGCCCTGAGTTCAAGCCCCAGGATTGACAAAACAAAAACAAACCCTCACAATTTTGTTCTGCCCAATCAGTTTTCACCTTCCCTCTGCCAACAGTCTAATATTAATTTTTAGATAGGTCAATTATTTAAAATTAAAAATTTAATTAAAATTAAAAGACCTATGGATCTCCAGGGCACTTTTCCTTCTTTATGATTTACGTGTGTGTGTATGTGTGTACATGCTGGTCCTAGAACTTGAACTCAGGGCCTGAGCACTCTCTGAACCTTTTGGCTCAAGGCCAGCATTCCACCATTTGAGCCACAGAGCTTCACTTCTGGCCTTTTACTGGTTTACTGGAGATTAGTCTCACGGGCTTTCCTAACCATACTGGCTTCAGCGATCCTCAGATTTCAGGCTTCTGGGTAGCTGGGATTCCAGAAGTAAGCCATTGGTGCCCTGCATATTTATTTATTGGGGGCGGTCGTGGGGCCTGAACTCTGGGCCTGGGCGCTGTCCCTCAGCCATTCAGCTCAAGGCTAGCACTCTACTCTTGAGCCACAGCACCACTTCCAGCTTTTTCTGCTTATGTGGTGCTGAGGAATTAAACCTAGGGCCTCAAGCAAGCAAGGCAAGCACTCTACCACTGAGCTACCTTCCCAGCCCTGCCCTGCATAATTTTAAGTTAACGGATCTTCCTAGTCTTGTGATGACTTGCAGTATACTTAAGAATAATATAAATCAAGCTGGGCATTGGTGGCTCATGCCCGTAATCCTAGCTACTCAGGTGGCTGAGATCTGAGGATCTTGGTTCAAAGCCAGCCCGGGCAGAAAAGTCTGAGACATTGTGAGACTCTTATCTCCAGTTACCCACTAGAATATCAGAAGTGGCGCTGTGGCTGAAAGTGGTAGAGCACTAGTCTTGAGCAAAAATTGCTCAGGGATAGCACCCAGGCCCTGAGTTCAAGCCCCATGACCAATAATAATGATGATGATGATGTAAATCACTAGATGCCAGTGACTCACACCTGTAATCCTAGCTACTTAGGCTGAGAATCCCAGTTCCAAGCCAGCTCAGGCAGGTAAAGCCATGACACTCTTATCTCCAATTAACCTGCAAAGGGGTGGAACAAGAGCTGTGGTTCAAAGTGGTAGAGTTCTAACCTTGAGCAAAAAAGCTCCAGACCAAGTTCAAGCTCCAAGACCAACAAAAATAAGAATTATCGTGTATTTTATTTGCAGAGCACTCAGTTTAACCTAATGTACTGGACAGTCTTTTATCCAAGAACCAATAAGTTAGATAACCTTGGGACATTGTATTATAGTGTCTTCTGAATGATCGCAATCATTAAAAGATCCTCTCCCTCCCCTGCCTATTTATTTCCACTGTAGAACCATAGCCCACCTTCTTGAAAATTCTTAATTTGTCAAGATAATTTCTGGCTATCAAGAGTCCTGTATTCAGTCAGCCTAAACCCCTCACCGACTGATATTTAAAAATATAGCTCCTAAAGCGTCAAAATCACTAGTTTCTCTGTCCCTTCAACTTCCTACATAAAACGTAGCTCTTTACTATTCTACTTACTCTGGGAACACATACTGGCTCGTCAGCATCTCTAAGTATAGGCTTAAGGGAGGTGTGGCTCAGGTGTTGAAATGCTTACCTAGCCAAGTGCTTAAAACCCTCAGTTTAATCCACCATTCTGAAGAGAAAAAAAAAATCAAGATTATTCAAAGGCTAGGTGCCAGCGGCTCATGCCTGTAATCCTAGTTTCTCAGGAGGCTGATGTGAGGGTCTTGTTTAAGTCACCCGGGACAGACAAATCTGAGAGACTGTTATTCCAATTAACCAGCAAAAAGCTGGAAATGGGAGGTATAGTTCAAGTGGTAGAGTGCCAGCTGGTAATCACAATTCTTCTGCCTCTAGCTCCCTAGTGCTGGGATTATATACATGTACTACAACACCCAGCCAGATCAAATTCAAATAGCAGGGTATCAATCATTTGATTTCACTCAGTCATGAGATTCTGTGACAAACCTGACTTTTTTTTCCTTTTTTTTTGTTGGTTCTGGGCTTGAACTCTGGGCCTGGGCACTGTCCCTCAGCTCTTTAGTGTAAGGCAAGTGCTCTGCCACTTGAGGCACAGTGCCACTTCTGGTTTTCTGGTGGTTAATTGGAGATGAGTCTCACAGACTTTCCTGTCTGGGCTGGCTCTGAACCACAGTCCTCAGATCTCAGCCTCCTAGGTAGCTAGGATTATAGGTGTGAGCCATCTGTGCCCAGTAAATCCTTTATCTCTCCATAACTCTCCTAAGAATTTAGATATAACATGTAGTCTGGACATTATCTTTTTTTTTTTGTCGGTCGTGGGGCTTGAACTCTGGGCCTGCGCGCTGTCCCTCAGCTCTTCAGCTCAAGGTGAGCGCTCTACCACTTGAGCTACAGCGCCACTTCCTGGACATTATCTTTAGCGCCACAATTTCTACATTCTGGACCAAACATATCAATACTTCTATCTCAGGTCAGTCACTCTATTCTAACAATTCAATGTTCAAATATTGGGCACATTGGGAGAAAATGTGAGAAGCTTCTCATTCCAACAATTTTTTTTTTTTGCCAGTCCTGGGACTTGAACTGAGCTTGGGCACTGTCCCTGAGCTTCTTTTGTTCAAGGCTAGCAGTCTACCACTTGAGCCACAGTGTCACTTCTGTTTTTTTCTGTGTATGTGGTACTGAGGAATTGAACCCAGGGCTTCATACATGCTAGGTGAGCATTCTACCACTAAACCACATTCCCAGCCCTCCAATAAATATATTTCTTAAAATAATAAATCAATTCCCAGACTCTAACACCATGCAATGAAGTCTTTTATTAGGCATAGGTTTTTAAATGTCTTTAGTAGTTCCATACATAGGAAAAAAAAATACCTGCCATTTAAAACATATTAGAACTTGCAAGACTCATCTCTGCCTAGAGAAGGAAAGTTACCCTGGAGCATGCTTAACCAGGAGGCCAGTGCATCTGACGACCCCCAAGAACATGGAGATGAACATGGTAGACAGACTGGCCGCCATCTACACCTTCATTCACCACCATGCGATAGCCCTTCTTTAGGCCCAGATCAGCAGCACATTTCTTGCCAACAATCATCAAATGTCCAAGAAGCTGGAAAAGAAAAAAACACGTGTCTTAAGCACAAGAAATTTTAAAAAAATCGTCCAGTTAAGAGTATGAAATTAAGGCAGGCCTAATGGTAATCCCAGTATCTAAGAGGCTAAGGCAGCAGGATCACAAGATGCAGGCTAGCTTCACTGTCAAATATATATATATATATATATATAAAGATGAGGGGCTGGGGAGGTGGCTCAGTGGTAGAGCGCTTGCCTTGCATGCCTGAGGCCCTGGGTTCGATTCCTCAGCACCACATAAGCATAAAGAAAAAAGCCGGAAGTGGCGCTGTGGCTCAAGTGGTAGAGTGCTAGCCTTGAGCTGAAGAGCTGAGGGACAGCGCCCAGGCCCAGAGTTCAGGCCCCAGGACTGGACCCAAACAAACAAACAAATAAACAAAAAACAAAAAGATGAAAAGCCATGCACCTGTGGCTCATGCCTGCAATTCTGGCTACTCAGAAGGCTAAGATCTGCGTGAGGATCACTGTTCGAAGCCAACCTAGGTAGGAAAGTCCATGAAACTCTGTTCTCCAACTAACTAGCAAAAGTATGCTCTACTAGTAGAGCATTAGCCTTGAGCACAGCGGCTAAGGGACCATGCCTAGGCCCTGAGTTCAAATCCCAAGACTGACCCCACAAAAAAAAAAATCAAATCAAATTATGGCTTTGATCAAATGTACATCAAGATCCTGATGTTTACTACGCCAATAGAAATGGTCTCTCCCCTTCCTGTTCTTTTCTTGAAAGCTTGTTAAAATGCTGGGCAAAGTGACACTGTGGCTCAAGTGCTAGAGTGCTAGCTTTGAGCTGAAGAGCTGAGGAATAGCGCTTAGGTCCAGAGTTCAAGCCCCACAAACGACAAAAAAAAAGAAAGAAAAAGGAAAATGCTTGTGTTTGTCGGGTGCCAGTGGCTCATGCCTGTAATCCTAGCTACTCAGGAAGCTGATCTGAGGATCTTGGTTTACAGCCAGCCTGGACAGGAAAGTCTGTGAGACTCTTATCTCCAATTAACCCCCCCAAAATCAGAAGTGGCGCTGTGGCTCAAGTGGTAGAGCACTAGCCTTAAGCTGAAGAGCTCAGAGAAGCACTCAGGCCCAAAGTTCAAACCCTATGACTGACAAAAAAAATAAAAATTTAAAAAATGCTGGTGAAAGAGGATACTAACACCATCTTTGTTCTCCGTCCATGGGAAACATAAGCAAAGAAGTGGAAGTATAGCCAACTCTTCTCATGCTAACTTTTTTTGTTTGTTTTTGGTACTGGTCCAGGGGCTTGAACTCAGGACCTGAGATCTTTAGCTTAAACTAGTACTCTACCACTTGAGCCACAGCTCTACTTCTAACTTTTTGATAGTTAACTGGAGAGAAGAGTCTCAAGCACTATCCTGCCTGGACTGACTTCCAACCTTGATCTTCAGATCTTAGCCTCCTGAATTACCTAGAATTGTAGGCGTGAGCCACGGGCACCTGGCTCTTTAATTTTTTAATCAAGGAAGAAAGCTGGCAACAAACAAGTCATTTTCTTATGAAAACAGACAAACTGTCCCTACGCAGTACCAAAAGCCAGAAACAGGCTGACCCACAGTGAGACCATGCGTTTGCCCCCAGGCAGGCACTTCAAGTCCCAAGACAGGAACAGTTCCTCCATGTCCACAACAAAATCTACTAAGCCACACACAGGAAGTTATATGGGGAAAGAAAAATGTTTTGTCATCAAATATTTTGATGACTGAAGAAGTTCCCAGGCAGCCCCACAAAGGCATAATGACCAAATTTTATTTTAAAAAAGGGCTACCTGAGGCTGGGAAGGTGGCTTAGCGGTAGAGTGCTTGCCTGGCATGCATAAAGCCCTGAGTTCAATTCCTCAGTACCACATACACAGAAAAAAACAGAAGTGGTGCTGTGGCTCAAGTGGTAGAGCACTAGCCTTGAGCACAGAGAAGTTCAAGGACAGTGCCCAGGCCCTAAGTTCAAGCTCCAGGACCGGCAAAAAAAAAGGGGGGCCCCCTATATTTCCGTGAGCCAACTTCAAACAAAAATTCCCATTTAAAAGTTAAATTATATCCATTGGGAACTAGAATTGATCATACATTTCATTATGAGTTAGCAGAGTTTGAACATTAACTCAGTAATTATTTTCTGGCAAAGAACCGTGTCTTCTCTTTAAAAAGAGCTGATTCTTAAAACCCTAACTTAGGAAATTAACTGAATAAAAATCAACGTTCTGTCATCCTTACAGACAAGAGCTGCCCTGGAATAAAGAGCTCCCACCCTGCCAAGTGCCGGCGGCTCACGCCTGTAACCCTAGCTATTCAGGAGGCTGAGATCTGAGGATCAGGGTTCAAAACCAGCCCAGGCAGGAAAGCCCGTGAGGTTTTTGGTTTTTTTCTGGGGGGGGGGGGTTGGGTGTTGGTTGTGGGGCTTGAACTCAGAAAAGTCTCATGGACTTTTTTGTCGTTCCCCCCCCCCCCACACACACACACCCCAGTCCTAGGGACTGAACTCAAGGCTTGGGCACTGTCCCTGAGCTTCTTTTGCTCAAGGCTAGCATTTTACCACTTGAGCCACAGAGCCACTTCCAGCCTTTTCTGTGTACGTGGTACTGAGGAATCAAACCCAGGGCTTCATGAATGCTAGGCAAGCACTCTACCACTAAGCTACATTCCCAGCCAGCCCCTCATGGATTTTTTCGCCTGGTTTTCTGAGTGGTTTATTAGAGATAACAGTCTCATGGGCCAGGCACTAGTGGCTCATGCCTGTAATCCTAGCTGCCCAGGAGGCTGAGATCTGAGAATTTCGGTTCAAAGCCAGTCATGGATGTGGGCTTTACCTTTAGAAACTCACATTAGCCTTTGCTTTTTTTTTTTTTTGGAGGGGATGCCTATCCTGGGACTTGTCCTGGGTCCTGTCCCCCAAACTTTTTAGCTCAAGGCTAGCACTCTACCCCTTGAGCCACATCGACACTTCCAGATTTTTTTGGTGGTTAAATGGAGGTAAGTCTCACAGACTTTCCTGCTTAGGCTGCCTTTGAACTGTAATCCTCAGATTTAAGCCTCCTGAGGAGCTGATTCTAGGTGTGTGCCACTGGTGCCTGGCTGAACTCTCTGATTGGTACAAGTGTTTGAGTTAAAAATTAGTATCTAGATGAGGCTCCAATGGCTCACACCTGTAATCCTAGCAACTCAGGAGGCTGAGATCTGAAGATCTTGGTTCAAATCCAGCCTTGAACTTTTAGAAAAGTCCATGAATTTTTTTTTTTCGCCAGTCCTCAGGCTTGAACTCAGGGCCTGGGCACTGTCCTTGAGCTTCTTTTGCTCAAGGCTAGTGCTCTATTGCTTAAGGGGCACAATGCCACTTCTGGCTTTTTCTGCGTATGTGGTACGGAGAAATCGAACCCAGGGCTTTTAGGCAAGCACTCTACCACTAAGCCACATTCTCAGCCTCTCCATGAGCCTCTTATCTCCAATTCAACAGCAAAAAGTCAAAGTGGGAGAATGGCTCAAGATTACTAGCCTTAAGCACAAAAGGTACACAAGAGCAAAAGCTACACAAGAGCAAAAGTCCCTGAGTTCAAGTCTCAGTACCCGCACAAGGCTACTCAATTCTGTAGTGTAAAAGCACCATGGACAGTAGAGTTCAACAAATGAGTGACTGTGTTCCATAAAACTTTATTTGTAGGGGCTGGGAAGGTGGCTCAGTGGTAGAGCGCTTGCCTTGCATGCATGAGGCCCTGGGTTCGATTCCTCAGCACCACATAGCAGAAAAAGCTGGAAGTGGCGCTGTGGCTCAAGTGATAGAGCACTAGCCTTGAGCTGAAGAGCTGAGGGACAGTGCCCAGGCTCAGAGTTCAGGCCCCACAACTGGCAAAAAACAAAAACAAAAAAAACTTTATTTGTAAAAACAGGCAGCCAGCCAGATTTGGGCCACAGGCTAGACTGCTAGTTCCAGCTATCATTTCTGGATCTAGAAACCAAACCTCAGACATACCAAGCGTGTGTGTTCATATCTGGGAGCCAAGGGTTCACTGGCATCATGTATGGATATCATGATCTCTGATTTGGATAATGATTTGCTGACTATGAAGATCCATATTGGTGACTTTCTGTTGACTATGCCTCAAATGTTTTTGCAGAAGTTATCCTTTACAAGGCTTTGCGTAGCTGGGCACTGGTGGTTCACACCTGTAACCCTAGCTACTTAGGAAGCTGAGACCTGAGAGAGGTTTGAAGCCGGCTCCCCAGGAATTATTTCTAATACACTATTCAGAAAAAGTCAGAAGTAGCACCCTGATTCAAGTGGTAGAGCGCTAGTCTTGAGCAAAAGAAGCTCAGGGACAGTGTCCAGGCCCTGAGTTCAAGCCCCAGGACCAGCAAAAACAAATAAATAAGGTTTCTGTTGCTAAAATTTCAGGTATCATTTCAATATTCCCTACTTATACCTGTTTTTTTTTCTCCAGTTCAATCATATATTACACCAAATTATCAGTCTTGTGGCATCTAATGCACTTTAGCTCTGAATACGTGTATTTTTTGTTGTTTGTTTTTTTGTCAGGCATGGGGCTTGGGCCTGAACACTGTCCCTCAGCTCTTCAACTCAAGGCTAGCACTCTACCACTTGAGCCACTGAGCCACTTCTGGTTTTCTGAGTGGTTTATTGGAGATAAGAGTCTCACGGACTTTCCTGCCCCAGCTGGCTTTGAACTGTGATCCTCAGATCTCAGCTTCCTGAGTAGCTAGGATTACAGGCGTGAGCCACTGGCACCCAGCTACATGTTTTATTAGAGTGAAATGGTACTGTCAAGTAACCTAGTGGTTTTTTGGTTTTCCTTTGTAATGGCCGTAGGAAGTTAAGTGTGTTATCACCAAGAACAATTGAAAAACCAGGAAAACAAAAATCAAGTATAGATATATACTCACACTTTCATCATCATCTTCAGCTACAGAAATCTGGGATATGTGTTTCTTGGGGATCACCAGAAAATGGGTTGGTGCTTGAGGGGAAATGTCATGGAAAGCAAGACACTAGGAAAGAGAAAATGCAAATTTTAGTACTAGATCATCCTCAATAAACCACGTGGGAGGCCTTGATTCATATTCAAGGTTCCACAGTCTCACGGCAAAACGACTTTAAAGATGTAGTTACTACTGGCTGTGCAAGTCCCAAAAGAAGGTAAGAAAAAAAAAAAAAAAAGCCTGGTATAGTTAGACTGAACATTCTTTTTTTTTTTGGTAGGCTGTGGGGCGTGAACTCTGGGCCTGGGCGCTGTCCCTCAGCTCTTCAGCTCAAGGCAAGCGCTCTACCACTTGAGTTACAGCGCCACTTCCGGTTTTCTGGTGGTTTATTGGAGATAGGAGTCTCACGGTCTCTCTGGCCCGGGCTGGCTTTGAACCGCGATCCTCAGATCTCAGCCTCCTGAGTAGCTAGGATTACAGGCGTGAGCCACCAGCACCTGGCTAGACTGAACATTCTTAGACAAGGATTCTGAGTCAGTGACATTTAAACTGTGATCCCAGAAGAGTAGAAAGTAGCATGTCTCCAGCCCATTGAGGATCTCAAGCAACTCAATCTTCTAGCACCTGTCACGAACCTTCCTAGCTCACTACCCTCATGGCTTTTCCAACTGCATTCCCGAGAGGCGACTGCCTCCAATTTAAAGTCTATCTTAAAATGCTTTTTTTGTGGCTCAACTTGAAATGCTAATTTTGTCAGTGAACTCAGAGCCTGGACGCTTTCTGAGCTCTTCTGCTCAAGGCTCTACCACTTAAGAGCCACAGTGCCACTCCCAGTTTTCTGATTGGTTAGTTGGAGGTGAATCTCGTGGATTTTGCTACCCTGGCTGGCTTGGATGGGGATCCTCACATCTCAGACGTCCAAGTACTTAGGATTACAGGCATGAGCAACCAGAGCCCAACCATATATACAATTTTTTTTTCTTCCAGTCATGGGGCTTGAACTCTGGGCCTGAAAGCTGTCCCTCAGCTCTTCAGCTCAAGGCTAGTGTTCTACCCACTTGAGCCACTGCACCACTTCCTGTTTCCTGAGTGGTTTGTTGGAGACTTTTCTGCCTGGGCTGGCTTCCAACCATGATCCTGAGATCTCAGCCTCCTGAGTAGCTAGGATTACAGGCGTGAGTCACCAGTGCCCTGCTACAATTTTTTAATGAATCCTCAAGAGAGACTGGAGGTGTGGCTCATAACAGTCCTGGTTATGAAATTTGTTTTTCCACCACAGGTACTGATCGGTTTCAGCAGTAACATGTTTGATTTTTCCCACTTTATTCAACATATATATATATATATATATATGTATGTATATTATATCCATTCCCTAGTGTAAAACTGAACAGTATAAGCAGTTAGCCCAATTATTTACCACACCAGAAGCTATAGACATACACAGAACATACTTGTAAAAAAACAATTTAATTTAAATCTCTTGTTGTCTGTGGAAGGTGGAGATTGCCCATGAGAACCTTTCGTGTTTGTCCAGAGTAATTTTACTGGCTACTCCCTCAAAAAATGCTGCATCACTGGAGTTCATAGGTCATTTCCATAACTACTTAGATAGAAAAGGCAATCGCTTTTAAATTACGTTTTCAAAAATACACTTCCTTCCTAACCAGTGACACGTAAAGATACTGAAATCACACTCACCTCAAGGAACCGAACTGAACCTTAGGTAATGCTCTCACTCCTAAGTACAGGCGACCGGTTTTTCTTCTCTTGCCTCCCCTCCCTCCCAAAGGTAATTTCACAGACGGCTTGTGGAACTTCTCCCCAAGCCAGCCGACCCCTGGCCCAGCTTGGATCTGAGACCCGAACCCTTGCACACACCGTGCAGGAACTAGTTGACCCGGGTGGGTGACCCGCGCGGGGATCTCACTCAGAACTAGCGAGCTGGGTCGGCGGGCGTTCACAGATTGCCTGCCCCCCGCAGGAACCGTCCGCGGGTGCGGGGGTGAGGGCGGTCGGAGGAGATCGCGACGCAGGGCCGGGC